AGTCAGCCCGCCCGCGTGCATGATGGCGAATGTTGGAGCAGCGAACGTGGGGGTCCTCAGCCTGGACGCCGCACCAGCAGTGACGTGACAGTCACACCAGGCGAGCTGCTCACACTCTGCTCACCCAAAGCGGTGGGGGTGTATTGAAACCACACACAAGCAGAGACCAGCCTTGGGAACTCCCTGAGCCGACAAACCCAGGTGGGTCACACAAGCAAAGCTTTTCGGTGAGCTTGTTTGGCAAGACAGGCGAGGCCAACCTGACCTGGGTCATTGCTTGCTTATGCCTCTGGAAACCATAAGCAAGATTTAAACTGTTCCCCCAAATGGAGAGGAGGTAACCAGTAACCCATTTCCTTCCATTTAAGAAAAATCCTAATATTGTAGCCAACGCCCGTGAAGAAGAAACAGTCCGTGCCTCCAGGCTCTGGGAACTGCTTCCTCCCCTTCCCTTTTCTTTTCTTTAAAAAAAAAAAAAAATTTAAATGTTTATTTATTTTGAGAGAGACAGTGCTAGCAGGGGAGGGGCAGAGAGACAGAGGGAGACACAGATCACAAGTGGGGGAGAAACAGAGAGAGAGGGAGACACAGAATCCGAAGCAGGCTCCAGGCTCCGAGCTGTCAGCACAGAGCCCAACGCGGGGCTCGAACTCACGGACCGCGAGATCAGGACCTGAGCCGAAGTCGGATGCTTAACTGACTGAGCCACCCAGGAGCCGATTTCTGTATTTTAAGAGTTCTTTTATTTTGTTTTATTGTTTATTTTTTTTACATTTATTTATTTTTGAGAGAAAGAGTGAGACAAAGTGAGAGTGGGGGAAGGGCAGAGAGAGAGAGACACACAGAATTGGAAGCAGGCTCCAGGCTCTGAGCCGTCAGCACAGAGCCCAACGCGGGGCTCGAACCCACGAACCGCGAGATCGTGACCTGAGCCGAAGTCGGACGCTCGACCGACTGAGCCCCCCAGGTGCCCTTCTGGGAACCACTTTCTAACATACACCCCACTCAAGCCTCATTCCATGTTTTGGCTGGAGGGCTCCCAGTGTGCAGTGTCCTTCCGGTGTGTTCACAGTAAACGTTTGCTGACTATGACTTCAGGGATTCATCGGTTTTACTTCTGGTTCTTGTTTTCCTGAACTTTGGACACAAGGAAGCAAGCCTGTCCCCAGCCGCAGCAGACAATGGGCCACCTCTTTGGCATCTGAAGGTATCAATTTCGTTGCTCAGTGACAAGGCCAAGGGGCAGTGGCCTTCCCTGCTCAGCCCTTTAATGACCTGCAAGGTGTGGACCCACGGAGGTAAAGCGAACATTGATCCCAACACAGGAAGAAACTGTAAACCTCATGTAACACGGGGCTTTGAGGAAGCAGTGGTCGGGAATGAGAGCCACCCTCAGCATCCCGAGAGCTTCCGGAACATTCAGGCACGTGGGGATGGCAACGGGAATTTTCAGGACCGACGACTCCCACCGTCAATGTATTTTGGAAGTCCCCAGAATAGGGAACGACGCTTCCGCCCGCTATAAGGAATCTTGACATTGATCAAGAAGTCTCCATCAGTCGTGAAGGAGAACATCCACAGAAAGGAACGTATGTGATACAAGCTTGACATCAGGTATTTGGTTTTGCATGAATTCCATATACATTTGCTCTGTGGTTCGACGTGTGACAAGGGACCAAGGGGCCTTGCCCACTGGACGGACACACGTAGATGTGTCTATGAAACACCTCCGGTTATGCGTGCTTCATTTATGGTGGTGATCATTCTTTGTCACGTTCTCAGGTAGGTTTTCCAAATAACGTTACGACTAAAGGACACAACGCTTCAACTTTCCACGTCTTGACTTTGATCATAAAACTGGGGTTGCCTTTGAATTAAATTCATGAAGTCTCCAGTGAAAAGGAGGCTGCTGCTTTTTGCCTATGGAAGAGGGTCTCATTCGTGAAAATGGTCTTAGAAAGGAGGCCCAGGCCGGGTTCCAATACAGGGTAGTGGCCCTGTAATGATTCCCAAAAAGTCCTGGATGTCTCCAAATACAGCCTTGTCGTCAAAGCCATGGTGAAAGATGACAGGGGAGAATGAGGGGGGATTTCAGAGTCAGGAGAGGCCTTTCAAGGACTCCTCAAGGCCCTGGAATTTCTGAGGAGAAAGGTAACAGTGACGGGCAAGATGGGTTTCTCCTGTGGGAGGGAAGGGTGGAGGGCAGCTGGGTGTGGGTTCCCGTGAGCACGCGCCCTGGCAGGGAGGAAGGGGCAGACTCGCTGTTCCTGCCGCATCTGTGTGGGTCCCCTCCTGTTCTCTTACTGTATTTCTATCCTTGGAACAATGTATTTAAACAGGAAAATTATTTTGGAGGCACCCGGGTGGCTCAGTCAGTTGAACATCAGACTCTTGATTTTGGCTCAGATCAGGACCCCAAGGTTGTGGGTTGGAGCCCCACTTAGGCTCCACACTGACAGTGCAGATCCTGCTTGGGGTTCTCCCTCTCTCTCTCTCTCTCTCTCTCTCTCCATCCCTCCTCTGCTCACGCAACCTTGCTTTCTTGTCCTCAAAATAAATAAATAGGGGCGCCTGAGTAGCTCAGTTGGTTAAGCATCCAGCCAATGCCCAGGTGATGGTAACCTCTCAGATTTTGTGTAGGTTTTCGAACTGTGTTGGGCTCTGTGCTGACAGCTCAGAGCCTGCTTGGGATTCTCTCTCTCTCTCTCTCTGTCTCTCTCAAAAAAAAAAAAAAAAATCTTAAACACAATTTCTTTAAATGAAATATATTATCTAGAAAGGGAAAGCCTGCTTCTTGCACAGTCTGCCCATCGGTCATGGGAGCCACATCCCTCGGGTCTCCCGTGTGGGAGTCATTCCTGCCTCTCCCCCAGGACTCTGGTCTGGGGTTGGAAAGATCAGGAAGGCAGAAACAAGGCTGCCGCACTTCACGGCATTAAGCAGCGTCCAGCCCCGGACCCCCCACTCATCACTTGCACACACCTCTATTGCTCCAGTATTGGCTTGTCTGATTATTAAAAAAAAAAAAAAAAAAAAACCCAAAAAACAAAAAACAAAATAGTTTTGCTCTTCAAAGAAAATCACGGTGAAGCGGGAATCAATAGGATGTCGAGAACAGAGCAGGCAGCTGCAGTTTCATGCAAGGCACGGTGATGTCCTCTTACTGCTGAAACAGAATTCAGCACTTCTGCAAGTTTTGATGGATGTCCAAACACAACCCTCATATACGCACCTTTTATGTGCCAGGCACTGTTACAAGCCTTAACGAATAAATACTGGCCCTCGGGGGCCTCCCCTGTAGAACAGGATAGGCTACGATGGCATCTGATGTAGACATGAGGGGACAGAGGCACAGGGAGCTGGCACAACCCGGGAAGCAGAAGACTTGGGCTCAGAACTGTGCTGGTTCCTCACCACTGGTGCCGTTGGTTCCGTCTTGTGCATCTACGTTCCAAAGCCAGGGCCGCATGTATTTATTTTATTTAGAATGAAACGATCTGGAACCGAGCATGCTAAGGAACTCAGGAAGAACAAAACTCACACCTTCCCTGTATCTTTCCCATCAAAGATGGGAGGAAGCAAACCCTGATCCTCTTATCTCAATATTTGCTATCCTGGCCCCGCGGTTGTAAGGTTGACATTGCCGTGAAGTCACCGGTGCCCTGACAGGGAGGTGTGTCCGTCCTCTCACACACAGTCAGCGGGGGTCTGGCTGACCACTGAGGCTGACAGTGTAGCCGCACTGGGAATCCCCGCAGGGCAAACTTGGTATCTTGTAAAAGACGTGGGATTTCATAGCCATGTTGTAGAAGCCCTCGATCACATCCAAGAACGCAATGGGAGAGCGGATACAATCAGCCCACTTAAAAATTGAAAGAAAACGATTACAAGGACAATGACAAGACAGCCGCTTTAGAGAATTATCTGAATCCCGGGGGATGAAGACAATGCCTGGAGACACATCTCGAAACCTCTGAGGGCATCTTATGAAAACAAACACAAACACAGCCTTTGAAGATGACCATTCTTCAAGGTAAATGACAAAACTTAAACCAAAAGAAAAATGCGATAAAATGCCACCATTCTATTCTGCAGATACTTTTCCCGAGCAATTCTTTCCAAGTGTGATTTTTTTTTTTTATTCTAAAAAGAACCACAGCGTAGCTGTAAGTATAACCCAAGACCTTCTTAACTAGAAAGGGGGTGGGGGGAGGGAAGCGATTCTTATCATTGTTATCTTTTAAACAAATCTCAATAAAATATTTTCTCATTATTATGAAATCCGGGTCCACAATTTAAGAGGATTTGCCGTAAGTGGCTTTTCCCCAGTATGATAATCCTCAGATAACAGAGGCTCCTGTACCGAACTCGGAATCGTCACACAGAGTCACAGAGAAACCCTATTAGAACCTGAGCCATCTGCTGAGCCAGCTGCGGTGACGGCAGCCGGGTTATTCTGTTGCTTCGACTGACTTTCTGTTCTTTCTTTTTTTAGAAGACGCAACACCTCCGTGTGGCGATTTCTCCTTTAATCACCGCTAACCTGGGCTCAGGAACTGAGGCTTCCCCAGCCCCGACTTGGCAGCATTGAACCTCAAGGATTTTTTTATAAAGGGCATGTCCTTGCCCCTTTGCCCACGCACGCCCAAAACGGAGCATCAAAAACCCTAGGTCTTTTCTCGGGCCCTGGGACCTTATGGTCTCCGTCACATAAGTGCTGTCTGCGTATCTACAAAGGAAATCAAACGAAAGAAAAAATCACATCCTTCTCCTCCAAGTTCGATGGCAACTCAAGGTCAAAGAAGAGCGACTCCTTCCCATTTGTTTCCTTCGGAAGCGGTTTCTGGCCCCCTTCCTCCCGCCCCCTCACCCACGACGTAAGAGGGGCTACCGAATGCACGTGGGGGGCCGCATGCACGAACGTGGCTTCACCGCGAAGCCAGAGGGTCCCCACAGGGGGCCAAGGGCCCAGGCTGCCACGGGCCAGGCGGGACACCTACCTCAGGATGAAGAGGTCCACGGTGGAGTTGTTGGCGACGCTGACGTAGGCAGTGACCACGTCTCCTTGTTTCACGGGCTGGGAGGGCAGCCAGATGGCCACGTTGCTGTCCAGACGCAGCTCGCGGAGCTGGACGCTGTCCTGGGCCCGGTAGAGGCTGACGCTCCCGATCCTCTGCAGGCGGGGCACGGCCTCCTCCGGCCCGTCCCTCCCCGGCCGGATGGAGTTGCCCTTCCTGGCGTCCCCGCCGCCGGCACAGTCCCCGCGCCCGTCCCCCGGCTGCACGGCATAGTAGAGCTCCACGGGGCTCCCCTCGGGCGGCCCCGGCGCCTTCTTCCTCCCGGCCAGCACGGTGGGGGGCCCGAACCAGCCGGCCAGCAGCTCCAGCTCGGCCACGCACAGCCCCAGGGCCCCCTGCAGCCGGCAGCCGGCCCGCACCTCCCGGGTCTCCCGGAAGGCGAACACCCGCAGGCAGGGCAGTCTCTCGCCCGGGCTCCGCGCCGCCCAGTCCCGGCCCAGCAGATGGAAAAGCACCTGCACCTTGGGGCGGCTCAGGTACACCTTGTCCCGCACGATGTGCGCCCTCAGCTTCCAGTTGAGGCCGAACTTGCTGGCCGGCCCCAGCAGGTTGGAAGGGACCATCAGGTCCAGGGGCACCACCTTCTGCACGGAGAAGGGCCCGTAGCTGGCGTTGAGCGCCGGGGGCCTCGTGGCCTTGTACGTGAAGAAGGACTCGACTCTCGTGCGCAGGCTGGAGTTGTGCAGGGCGTCCTGGCTGGCCTCCTTCAGGAAGAAGGCGGTCTCGGCCCCCAGGATGTGGTAGCTCACGGGCAGGTAGGGCGGCCGCGAGGAGAACCTGTGCACGTCGTCGGTGACCCCGCGGCCCTCGATCACTGCGGGGGCAACGGGAGACAAGAAAAAAAGACAGAGAACGGGTCATTACTGGATTCCTGGGAACACAGCAGGCCCACAAGCAACTCAGAAACGAGGAGGAACATTCCAAAGCCCACGTGGCCAGCGTTTTCACGGTCCTCCCGGGATCAGCCAGTAAAGGACTGTGCGCTATGCCAAGTATATACTGGAGCCTGGAGCTCTAGATTTTTGTTCCCTGGGAACGCTTCAGCAGTGACGATCTCCTATGTCCATGTGACAAAAAGCTGGCAAGATACCTGTGGGTGTAGAGTCAGGATGTTTATTAATGGTCTGCGTGAGTTTAAAACATTTAATGGCAGGGATACGTGAACAGAGAAACGGATCAGTGGAACCGAGGGGTCCATAAAAGAACTCGGGTGCATCTGGAAATTTAGCGTGTGATAAAGGCAGTACCCAGATCGTGAGGCGAAAAGAGACCTCTGTTTTTGCTTTTTTAATGTTTATTTATTTTGCGCCGGAAAGAGAGAGAGAGAGAGAGAGAGAGAAAATGCCAAGCAGGCTCCACGCCGTCTGTGCAGAGCCTGATGCAGGGCTCCATCTCACAAACTGTGAGATCAAGACCTGAGCTGAAATCAAGAGTCGGATGCTTAACTGACTGAGCCACCCAGGTGCCCCAAAGAGACACTTTAATAAACGGTTCTGGGACAACTGGCTAGCCACCTGAGACAAAAGACAACATTAGATCCATATCTCACACCATACCCACGAATAAACTTCATGTAAATCAGTGATCTAGATAAAAGGAAATAAATTTTTTTCAGTACTAAAAGAAAACAATGGATGAATTCCTTTACGAGCTGAGTGTAGGGAACGCTTTCTAATTATGACTCCAGATCCAAATGCAATTTTCAACAAAGTGATAACCTTGCCTATGTAAAGGATTGTTTAAATGTTTTGCAGAACAAAAAAATTCATAAAGTCAAAACAGGAAAAAAAAAAAAGGGCAAATGGGGCGATCTTGCAAACTGCTCACTTACGGCATCCTACCCAGCATGGCGATGGGCTTTGTTTTGCCCACAGTATTTAAAAAAAACTCTTTAATGTTTATTTATTTTTGAGAGAGAGAGAGAGACAGACAGGGCACAAGCTGGGGAGGGGCAGACAGAGAAACACAGAATTGGAAGCAGCTCCAGGCTCCGAACTGCCAGCACAGAGCCCGACATGGGGCTCGAACCCACGGACCGTGAGATCGTGACCTGAGCCGAAGCCGGACGCTTCAGCGACTGAGCCCCCCAGGAGCCCCTTGCCCATAGCGTTTTAAAGAATCCCTAAGAGGGGCGCCTGGGTGGCGCAGTCGGTTAAGCGTCCGACTTCAGCCAGGTCACGATCTCGCGGTCCGTGAGTTCGAGCCCCGCGTCAGGCTCTGGGCTGATGGCTCAGAGCCTGGAGCCTGTTTCCGATTCTGTGTCTCCCTCTCTCTCTGCCCCTCCCCCGTTCATGCTCTGTCTCTCTCTGTCCCAAAAATAAATAAACGTTGAAAAAAAAATTTAAAAAAAAAAAAAAAAGAATCCCTAAGAATGCGAACCATCTTTAACGGCTGGGAGGCATCTGGGTTTCCAGCTTCCCCTTACACATGGGAGGACGCGGCAACAAGCGGGCGAGACGCTCAGCAGGCCACGGGGCTCAGTTAAGTCACCTGCTTGACCTCCAGGTGCACCTGAGTTGGAAAGCCCCGACTGGTGTCTGCAGCCCAGTGAGTCCCCACCGGGGGCGGGAGCTCGGCGCTGAGACGGGAGAGAGCATCTCCCCTGCCTGCCCGCCCTTCTCTGTCCCCCACAGGCACGGCCTGCAATACGGCCAGCAGGCTCCTTGCCGTTTGAAGGTTCTCCTCTCGAGAGGTGCCCCCTGGCTCGTACTTGTGGGTGGCTCACGAAAACTCACTACATACGCGACTAGGAGGTTCAAGCGCCCAGTGGCTGACTTTGCGAGGCCCCCGAGGCCCGTGGCCTTGCCCTTGTCTTTGAAAACCAGCCCAGCAACGCGGACGTGGCCCCCCGTTCCTATACTGAGGAAGAGGGGAGTGCTCTCTCCCCCGCTGGCCTTCCTCCTGACCGCGGCAGGCACAGCCCATCCAGCACATGGGGCGGCCTGTGCCTCTCAGCTCTGCAGCCCCCCTAATCCTCCCCCGGCAGGGACACCAGCTGGCCGATCAAAGCTGCTCTCGGTGGCACCGAGGCCAAAAGGGCTGGGCTGTCAAGACGGCTTTTCAAAGAGTCGGCGTCCTCTCCTGCTCTTGGCCGGAGACTGGGAGCTGACACCACCAGTAACAAGGGTAACACCCCTCTCTCTCCTCTCTCCTCTCCTTTCCAGAACCGGGGTAAATCGCCCTCAAAAGGCCCTGCCAGCGTCGGACATCCCAGAAAGAGTTCTGGTTCCGTGTCCTTAAACGATCCATGGACTATTTAAGCTACCTGCAATACTTTATAAAACCCGAGCTGAACCGCCACATCAGATGTTTTATTCTCCGGTGCCCATCCCTCTCCGAAAACGCCCTGAAGCCCCGAAGCGTGGAGATTTGGAGGCTGATTTGTTTGGGGCGAAGGGGGCTGCAGGCTCTCTGAAGGAGCGGAGCAGGATGCTAAGCCTGTGCGTGCTGGGTGCTCCCCGCCAAAGAAAGCACCACCACGAAGCCTTCTCCTCGTTTTTCACTCTGTCTGCAAGTAGGGATTCCTTTTTTTCCACGTTTTTGTGGATTTTCCATGCCCAACAAAGCCTAAAATAGGACCTTTTGTTTTTTTGTAAATGCTGACTTTGTTTTCTATAAAGTAAAGCTGGAGTGGGTGTGCTGTCTAGCTGTCTTCTCTCTCGGGATTCTCTGTTATTTAAGTAGGTCACTCCTTACCTTTCTGGTGGAGGAAAAAGCGCCTCGCTCTTACCTTCCCGCTAAATGCAGTTCCAAATTTTCCAGTTCATGAGAGATTTAATGTGAGCAAGAAGAGACAGACACCGTGAAGAAGGAAGTGGGTCTACTACGGTGGTTAAAGGCATGAAGGTTGGCCATAGAGGTGTCAAGGGTTGACCTACTGAACCATCATGGGATCTTGAGCAAGTTCTCACATTCTGGGAGCTTCAGTTTCCATGGATGGATGGATGGATGGATGGATGGATGGATGGATGGATGGACGGACGAACAGGTGGGTGGATGGATGGACAGATGGGTGGATTGATGGATGGATGGATGGATGGACGGATGGATGGATGGACAAACAGGTGGGTGGATGGATGGATGGATGGACAGATGGACAGATGGGTGGATTGATGGATGAATGGACAGGAATGGGAATGGATGGATGGACAGGTGGGTGGATGGATGGATGGATGGATGGATGGATGCATAGGAAGTAGATAGATAAGTAGGTAGATAGAGCCAAACATTTGGGACAAAACAGTAGTTGTGTGCAGCAATTAAAAATGGACCCAGTTCTCCTCCTGTATCTATACCTTTTGCATGTGGCCCTGCAGCCCTCCCTTCAAGAAGAAGAGTCTCTTGGCCCACTCCTTGCATCTACGTTGCCACGTGACTTACTTCAGCCAACGAGTACGGCAGAGAGAATTTTTTAAGAGCAGTGAAAATACTCTGTATGATACTGCAACACTAGACACATGTCGTTACACATTTGTCCAAACCTACAGAAGGTACAACACCAAGAGTCAACCCTAGCGTAAACGAGGGACTCCAGGTACATGGGAACTCTCTGTATCTTCTCCTCAATTTTGCCGTGAACCTAAACCTGGTCTAAAAATAGAAAGTCTTCAAAAACAAGAATCTATTGAGCATATGTACGCCCATGATGGCCAGGAACAGCTCCCTGCACACACAATAATTCAAACCAAAGATGGTGTTTCCTAAGCTTCGGACACTCCGATAACACGTTCATGACATCAGCCGTGTAGTTACGCACTACAACTTAATCAATGATTTTATCGATAACTTATTAGAGTAAATACTTAATCAAACATCAGGCAATTAATTCATACATTTGTTTAGATAATCCCAGTGGACCCAATGCTCCCAACTGTTGCCAGTCTATGGCTCTGAGCCTAACACTCGCCCTTTCTTTGTGAAGTGGGGAGGTTATTGAGTGTGAGGTGCTAAAGACACAGGACACCAAAATGAGACTTTCTCCTTGATGGAATTAGAATAATCCAAACAGAACTGAAAAGGGAATCGCTTTCTCATTTGTGAGACTCGGGTGACTTCACACCGTGTCACCGTACCCCCCCAAAATCAACCATGGGCGTCCTCCCACGCTGCGACCCTGTCCATCACCCAAACTCATCTCACGTTTTGGGGACCCTGACCCAACAGATTAAGGAAGCAGAGGGGACTGCCAGCCTTCCCTGTATCTGTCTCCCGACCCTCGATCTGCCGAGGGCAAGGAAACTATTCCATGGCCACCGTGACCCATCGAGCACAAACATCCACCACCGCCTTCTGGTTCACCTGCTCCCACGTCTCCCAGAGAGATAGGATGATTCGGTAATTTGCATTGATCTGAAACAGTAACCCTGGAAAAGTCCGATGCTGGTTCCCTAAGGCCATAGAGAGGGGGACAAGGGAGCAGTTGATGGTGGCACCTTTTTATCTGTTCTCCTGGTTGACGGCACGTTCATTTGCTGTCTCCCTTCCTGTTGATCCATTTTCTTTATCTGTGTTGCCTGTCGGTGTTGGGGATATTGGAACACTCCATCAGGTGTTCATTGGAGAACTCTACGGGAAAGCTGCTGCCAGAAATTGGGTTTTTGAGATTCTAAGATAGCGAACACAGGAGAGGTCCGTGTCACTTGCACCCAGACAGAATAACACGGGGGGAAATGACCCTTTCGGCCAACAGGACGCACACCACCTTCATCACGATGCTCATTTGTGGATGTGTTGACTGGAGAGGATTCTTCGGAGCTGATTCTCTCTGGGCTGGGACATGAAAGTCGGCCAGATGGGAGACAGGACCCCCCCGGG